TCACACACATTACTATTTAGAGCAGGGCCGGATTCAAGAAATATAAATTTACAAAATTAAATCATACATTTAGTAAAACTTATAATTAATAATATGTGTGTATATATACACACTACTATAGTAGCATTTTTTTGAAAAAATTAAAAATCCTGAATGTGTTTTATCATGCTAGAATTAATAGAGATTTTGATTGTTTAATTGATTGATTAATAAATTCATAACATATTTTATTCTTGAATATTACATTTGTATGAAAATATTCTGTTCAGGAAATAAGTTCAAAATTTCCAAAATTTGTCAAAAAAAAAACCTTTTTTTTGTCAGTCATTTTTTTTCCAAAAATGTTTTTTTATTTTCAAAAGTCCAAAATTTCTCAAAATGCACCACTAATTTTATTTATATTATATTAACTTGTATTATCCTTGTTGCATTCCTGCCAAATCCTATCAATTTAGTACACTACCACAAAGAAAATTGTAGTTGTATCAAGTAGAATATTTGGACGGATTCTTCAGTCAATAACCGTGACTCTTATTTTCTCTAAATTTTCATATTTTTTATCAAAACAATCAACAAGTTTCCTAGTTTATCTCTGTCGATGATTTTGCTCGAGCCCATAATACACATATGTGCTTTCCCATATAGCATTTGATGTGTGACCACGCATTGGCACAAACGTGTTGACAGAAATTGATTAATTAAATAATTAATTTATTAATATTATTAAAAATATTATAAACAAAAAGAATTGTCATCGATGTTTACAGTTTGTTGTTTAATATTTCTGTGAGTGGGAACAAAAACATCATAAATCAGCATTAATTTGAAACGTTTGTTGCGTTACTAAATGTTGCGCCAGTTAAAAAGTGACTGTGAATGTGTAATATTTCAATTATAAATATTCAGTAAATATTTACTTAAAATTATCAACAAATAATGGTTTTATCTTGTATACTAAAAATTTAAAATCATCCAAAAATAGTTAAAATCATAAAAAATAGTTACAATAAGCATCTTGAATCAAGTGCTAAAATAAAATATAGTTACTAATATATTGCATCAAAATTTAATTATTATTAATATTATTTTTAATATCGATTTGGTACTACAAAAAATTGCATTTTTTACCTATGGTGAAACAAATACAGAAATAATAAATATAATCAAAATTCAATATAAAATTATTTCTACTACTATAATTAGTTCTACTAAAATTAAATTAAAATAATAAAAAGTGAAGCAGAAAGAATTTCTATGTAATTTTTTTTAAAGTGTTTGTATTAAAGCTAAGACAATGATTTTATATAAACTTTCTAATACTAGTGCAAATTATATTAAAAAATCTAAATACTGTAGTATTAAATATAATTTCTAGTATATTTATTAAATATTGCAAATATTAACTATCAGACCAAATATAAATAAAACAAAATTTATAGTCATAAAATATATTAACAAAATAATAATTTTTTATTAAACATTTCATTTATAGTGTTTCGAGATAAATATAGAGTGAAATATTATTAAAAAATATGAATAATATATAATAATTATTATAATAACATTTAGTAATTTAAATAAATATGGTGTTATTATATAGGTAAAATAAAAAGTATAAAATTTCTTGAAAACACTATTGCAAATTTGCAAAAAAATTCAAGATGTTTGAAATTTTGAAAGTAAGTTTAATTTTATTAATTAATTCAAATATATGTTATATGTTATAAATATTATTATTAATAGTTAAATTATTCAAACCATAAAAACTCTATGATTGATAAAAATATGATTTTCTATTTTGTAACATATTATTAACCCATTTATATTTTGAATTACGCTTTGGTAATTATTTATATTAGACTTAATTATAAATGTTTTATTTTTGATTGTAATTATACAAAAACATTCTTAATCTTTAAGTTTTAAATACATTTTATTTTGTAGTATTTAATATTATGCTATAAAACAAACATTTGGAGAGCAAATAGCTTTATAAATCAAACTGATGCATAAACAAAATTTGAGGCATTTTTCACATTTGTTTGTGTAATCTTTCACATCTAAAAAATTATATTTTATAAATGAAGTGTAAATATTTTTAACTAGAAAGGCAAAAGTTAATGCATATCAATTTAAAAAATTAAGTCTCATATCACAAAAGTAATTTTCCTTATTTGATAAAAGATATTTTAAAATTATATATTTTTTGTTAGATTAAAATGAATGGCAAATTAAATTTCTTCTTTGCTTATTTGTATATTTAGATTAGATTAGAAACCTGACGGGAACAATAGGTACAAGATCACGGATTATTGTATGCAAATTTTTTGTATGCAAAATTTCTAAATTGCAAATGAACTTTAAAAAAAGACATGCATAAATAATATTTACGTACAAAATAAGCATATAAATGGCAAATAATATATTTTTAAATTCATAATGTTTAAAAGAAATGAAGACTTGTTTTTATTATGAATCATTTTAAACATAGACTTCTCCTTCATGGAGTGAATTCTAAAGTAATAATAAAAAATATTTATATATTTTTTACTTTTTTTAATACTTTTGGTCTAACTTTTTTATCATATTTCATGCATCAATAACAATAAAAAAAATTATGGATCTAATTAAAAAATACAATTAGGATCTTAATACTAAATCTGTGCAGATTAAATAAACTCAAGATCAAAAATATTCTATAAACCTTTATAATATTTTTAGACCCTCAGTTTCTTTAATGTATCAAGTCTTTACATAATTAATTTTACGATCATAATAATCTTATTTTTATTTTTTTTTTTTATTTTTCATTGACCATTATTAATCAGAATTTTTCCATGAGATTATTATTTATTACGGAAGATGAGTTTTCTCTAGTATTTTGTTATGAAAGGAATTTTCAATATGTGTTTTGCAAATTTAATCTGTTTTCACGTGCAGATAATATTATATAAAGTTTTTATCGCGGAAATGCGATCCGATTATAACAAAAGCTCTCGATATTTACATGAAAATCGATTTCTTTAGAGATAAATACATATTTTTATGAGTATCATATTTTGTATCAGAGATACTGTATAAAAATGCGTGCAAATATTTTCAAAATAAAATTTACATAAATATAATCTTTTAATATTATCTGCTTTTTAATATTTGTCAAAAACAAGTAGAGTAGAGCGGGGCTTATTTTGTAATATCTCTTCAAAATTGAAAATAAGGCATTGGATCTGTTTGCTTCCTGATCGTTTATACCGCTTATGGGGTAAAAAGGACCAGAGGATAATTTTTTGAAAAACAGCAAAATCACCAATTTTTATAGTGAAGAATTACCTGGCAGTTTCACTGAACATAGTCAGATAGTTGTTTTTTGGTTATGTGTAATTTGTTGTGATATTATTAGTTTGGTTTTTACAATATTATTTCTCAAAGTCAAATTGAACCTTTGTGCCCCACTCTACTCTATTCAATATGATATTCCTATCCTAAAAAATTATTAAAGGCAAATGTAAAATTTATATTTTCTCATTTGTGAAATTTAAGGCTTCTATTAGAACTATTGCATTTTTATTCAATAATTTAGCAATCAGAAAATGCATTTTAAAAACTTCGCAGAGTTAAATTGAAAATTGCTAAAATTTCACTTATAAGATAATAGCTAAATATTCTTATAATTTCAAGATCATTATTTTTCTTATGATATTTTCTTCTCTCTACATATGTGTTCTGAATTGTTAAAGCAGGGTTTTGTGTATATTTATATTTATATTTAAGCCAACATATTAAAACGGTTTCGACACAAATTAATTGAATTTAATTCAAATGACCTTATATGACACCGAATTTATTACACAAACAACTCCAGTTGGTTGTAGTAAATAATACGTCGTAATAATATCAAAATAGATTATATATATATATATATATATATATATATATATATATATATAAATTAAAAATAATAAGCAAATATAAACAATTATATATTTACACGTTTCGAGTCTAGGTATGTGTCATCATCCAGGAAAATTGTTCTTAAATAATGGACAACAAAAAATGTTTCACCACGTTTTTCATTTTTATATTTTAGTGTATTGGATCTTCTAAATGAATTACTTATATCGATAATAAAAACATTTTATACTTCATAATTAATTTATAATTATATTTCCTATAAAAACAACATCAATATAATTTGATAAAAAAATAGTATTTAAATTACTGCTAAATACCTCTAGTATTTATAATATTACAATCATGATTATTAAAGAAACGGAATTATTTTCCAGATCAACAATTTTTTGTTATATCAATTTATTAAAACAAGTTTTATGATTTTAACATATTTTATTTATATAATTATTGCAATCATAAAATTAACATTATTAATTATGATAAACATACTTTTATTATAGGAAAAAATAGTTACAAAATTGTTGTAAAAGATAAACAAATTTAATAAAAATATTAATTATCATAATTCATTATTATAAATTAAATTGTAATTTTATTAATAATAATAATAAATTTTTGTAATTTTTTATTACTTTATTTGAACGAAGGTGAATAAGTGTATAATTTTAGGTTAGAAAAGCACGTGAGTTCGGAATAAATTTTCATTTTTTAAAAAAAGAATTTTTTTATTAATATTAATATTGAGTATATGTTTTCTACCATTTTTAATTATATTATTAACTAAATGTTTAGGATATAAATCATTATTAATTTAAAAAAAAAATAAAAATGATACAATTTATTTCATTATTATTTTGTGACTTAGCCAAATAGGTTGGTCAATCAATAAAATAAGAATGGAATTAATGAAAATAAGTTTATTTTAATAATAATAATTGTAATAAGTGCTTTTCTAATCTCTATTTGTATAATTTTGTAATTAAGATTTTAATTTGTTTTGTTGAATTATTTATTTTGAGTGTTCTGGTTCGATTTAATACATATTTATATAATATAGTATTTTATTGATATATATTTTTCTTTTTCAGAAAAACAAGGAGTTGATGAGCGAATTAGTGGCGAACCGAAAACTGAAAAATGGTAAGAAAACATTTAAATTTAATTAGTGTGACATTAAAGTGCTTTGATATTAAAAGATTATGCAAATTACTCTTGAAACAAGTTACATCGTACTTGAGTTAATCTAATAGTTTATAATCTGTAAAATAATATATACATGTTATTTGCCATGTCAGTCCTATGTGTCTGACGCTAAGATGTGCCACATGAATCATGTTAGACTTATTTGTCTACTATTTGATAGAAGGAATTTTTTTTATTACAAAATTTATTACAACTGTTAAATAATTTAACATCTAGTAACAATGATGAACAACAACAAAAATTTAAATATGATAAATTAATTTAAGGATAGTATTTTTATTAAAATGATATCCGTAGTATGATGATTTAATATAAAATAAAAATGAAGGAAAAATGAAGATTTCATATAGTTCCATGTCAGTCATATATGTGCGACTAAAACATAGTTTTTTGGAAAAATTTTTTTTTTGCTACATTAAATATCACTTAAACAAATGCACTTTCTATTTCAAATTACGATTGTAAATACACAGTGTGCAATTCTATTGGAAAATATTGTGGTTAAATTTTATATCATTTAATTCAAAAGTTCAATTAAATATTGACTTTATATCCAAATCCACGTACATAATCCTGTTCGATTCGAATCAAATCCCTTCAGCATTTCACGAAATCTATTTATTTATTTGGACGATACTTCAATTACTGGAATTCGATTTGCAAACTCTTAATCGAAAATGTAACACGTTTTGCAAAATAAATTCTTTGAATCTCAGATGGAAAAGTTTGGTAATAAATAAAAGTTTTTGGGAAAGATGAAAGTATACATCAAATATATAGACATATTTTTTGGAGAAAATATGCCGATTCAAATTTAGTTATTAATAATGTATTATTTGAAGTAGTTACTGAAAAAGCAGTTCTTTTTTATTTTAAATTAGAGAGCAATAGAGAGCAAGGTATCACGTAGTTCGTGTGGATCATCTGGGAATTTTGTATCAAAATTAATATTATCTCTATATGTAATTCACAATTTTGTAAAATATATAACTATTAAATTGAAATGACAATTTGCTTTCAATTATGGACTTTTTATGGTAGTATCTGTATAAATATACTTTAATTTGTATACAGATATTTCAAACTCAATTTTAAGTACTCAGTTTTTTTCAGCAGATGAAAATGTTAATGTATTTGGTTATGTTCCTACAATAATATTGATTTAGAGACAAAGCTTTGTTTAAATTTATATGCAAAATATAATAAAAAAATATTGCATCAATATTTCTATTTTAGTTTGAGGACAATATTTATCAGCCTATGATAAAAAAATATTGCATCAATATTTCTATTTTAGTTTAAGGACAATATTTATCAGTCGATGATAAAAAAATATTGCATCAATATTTATTCTTCTATTTGAGGACAATATTTATTAGCCGATGATAAAAAATATTGCATCAATATTTCTATTTTAGTTTGAGACCAATATTGGACAAGGCCATTTATAGAGATTATTGCCTCAATATCGGCTGACGTTGGCCTGGTCGATTAGTTGACATCATCACAGAACCGACGTTCGCCTATATTTGTGCGAATCACGGCCACAGAAAACCGATATTGGTAATATATTGTACCGATATTAATTTCTACATGGGTCTCTTTGTTTTTTTAACCATTTACTTAGTAATACTAGAAGATTTCAAGTATTTTTTAAACTCTATATTCTTTAATTTAATCCTTTTTTATTTTTCTTTTAGGATTTGGACCAGGGGTGTGTCTCACAGGCACCCAACGAGAAGGTTCTCCCACAGGAAAAAGCTCTCACAGTTTAGACGGACCCAACCCTGCCGAACCCATAACCGAGGTGAATAAAATTTCTCTACAAAATTCGCATTTTCATTGTTTTCCTTCTCTACGCACTAAAATATTCATTTATTCCGATGTTTTCCACAATTTTTTCTCGAATCATTCTTATCAGGGAAAGCACCTTTTAGGTGAAAATCTGGAAAATTGTAGTCTGACGTAGTTCGATCGAGTGACGTTGCCGGTATCGAAATGTTTAATCAGTCGTGAATGGTTTTCGATAGTGTTTGCCATGAAATTGATTTAATTTAGTAATGTTTACGTCACTAAAATATCGGTAAATAAATATGTGCATTAGATAGATATTTGGATAAAGTGCGTAGACGAATTGAGTTTCCATCGGGGTTTTTTGGAACGAAATCAGAATTATGACATTGCAGCTTTTATTGAGAGTGATATCTAAATTGTACTAATTTTTCACGAAAACCATATAAAAATTTGTAAGGTTCAAAATTTTCACAACTAATAATAATTCTTATTTATTAATGAATTTAAATTACATAACTTTAGACAATAAAGCAATTACATCAACTTGAACAGCGAAATAAATTATTTGTGTAATTAAACACTTTTTTGATAACGCAAATACTAATAGATTAGTATTTGATTTATTACTTAATTACATAAAATCTTTGTGCATTTTCCCGTATTTGTTTTTAATTTGCGCAGTTTTTTGCAAAATATATTTGCACATATATTCACATATCATTTATTTATTCATTCTAGCAATAATATTTATTTATTTATTAATTTATTTTTATATTTGTCTTTTCTATATTATGCTCTTGCATGTTCTTGATTTAGTCAGTCATTTATTTAGGTTTTTTATTTATTCATTAATATTGAATATTCATTTATTAATTTAGTCAATAATTTTTATATTTATTTATATAACCATCTATATAAATTTATTTTATTAACTTCCCGTAGGGTAAGTTATTGTAATGGGCCGAAAATCGGAATTGAAAATTTTTACATTTCTCGACGTTTTGAAGGTTTCTGAACGTTTTGGCATACCTCAGAAAAAATGGATGTGTGTGTGTGTGTGTGTGTGTGTGTATGTATGTATGGATACAAATTTTCGTCCACGTTTTCGGGCGTACGGATCAACCGATTTGAATGGTTTAAAAAACATTCGATTCCTATTAATAAGGAGAAGAGCTGATTAGTTTTTGGCAAAGACAGGTCCAGCAGTTACGGAGATAAGGAACAAAGAGTGCAGAAAATAGAAATCGAGTTTTTGAGAGAACGGAGCATCCGATTTGAATGATCTAAAAAACATTCCATTAGTAATGATTGGGAGAAAGGGTTATTCGTTTTTCGCAAAGGCAGGCCCAGCCATTTCGGAGATACAGAGCTAAATGTACAAAAAATGGCAGTTTTGAGAGAACTAAGCGTCCAATTTAATTGATTCAAAAAACTTTTTGCTTGTCTTAACAAAATAATTGATTTTGGTAAAAAAAAAATTTGTTTAATTTTTTTTTTTTTTTTTAATTTTTTGTATATCGAAAATAATTCAGATTTTATTTTTAATCCTGATTATAGTTCTAATGTACTTTAAACAAATAATTTCAAATTTTGCAATTCAGTTTATATAATTCTTATAAATATTAGACAATGTTACAGTATTAATAATAATCTATTTGAAAACATTCAGTATTCCTCGAACATTTCGTTATGGTACGGGAAGTTCCAGCAATTTGCCTTAAGGCACGATGCCATACACCCCACTAGTTTAAGTTACATTTTTAACTTCCCGTAGGGCAAGTTATAGTAATCGCAAAAAAATCGAAAATGAAAATTTTTATATATCTTTACGTTTCAGAGGTTTCTGAACATTTTGGCATACCTTAGAAAAAATGGATGTATGTGTGTGTGTGTGTGTGTGTATGTGTGTGTGTATGTATGTACGTGTGTGTATGTATGTGCGGATACAAATTTTCGTCGACGATTTCGGGAACACCGATCAACCGATCTGAATAATTCAAAAAACATTCGATTCGTATTGATAAGGAGACGTGCTGATTAGTTTTTGGCGAAGGCAGGTCTAGCCGTTCCGAAGATACGGGGCAAAAAGTGCCGAAAACGGTAACTCAGTTTTTAAGAGAACGGAGCGTCCGATTTGAAAAATTCAAAAAATATTTTACTTGTATTGACAAGATGTAGATTTGATCAAATTTTCATGAAGGCAGGTCTAGCGGTTTCGGAGATCTAATGAAAAAAGTAAAAAAAAAATGCCATTCGGCGGTTAAAATGATCATTAGACATATGCACATCAAATTATCAGATATTTTATAGAGATTTTAACAAAATTTATAATTTTTTTTACATTTCTATGGGTTCCGTACCAATGCTTATGCGTTAGACGGCGGCGCGGCACTTGCGAGCTTTGACATTTCGTCTCTATGCAGTTCAAGCAGTGCGATTGCTTTGAAAAAAAGTTCAGAATTTCCAAAATATGTCAAAATGAAGAAAACATTTTTTTTCAAAAAATTTTATTGTTTTAAAAAAAAATTTTTTTTCTCAAAAAAAATTTTTTTTTTCAAATAAAAATTTTTTTTTTTAAAAAAAGTAATTTTTTGTCAAATTTATAGTTTCTCAAAAATCTATTTTTTTCGAAGTAAATTTTTTTCAAAAATGTTATTCGTTTTGAAAAAATAATAATTTTTGGTACGGGAAATTCCAGCAATTTGCCTTAAGGCACGATGCCCTAATTGCCTTAAGACAGAATTCCACTTACAGCTAGTTTCTCATTTGTATTATTTATTTTCAGGCACCAAGTCCTGCAATGGCTCGTATCGGTTGGGCCTTACGAGTAATATTATTGAGCGAAACCGGAGGTTGTTTAAAAGACAGAAAATTATCAGGTATTGTAAAAATAAAATGACGATAATTAATATTATTTTTGTTACTGAAATTTCCTATAATAATTAATAATAAAACCTATACTTTTAACACGGGTTCATAACATTGTGGCAACACGACTTGACCATGGATTTGGAGTTGGCTTTGGAGGCAGAAAATAAAAATAATAGATTGTCATCGCAATGATTCGATTTTTCGAAGCCAACTTCTATGTTACCATAAAATATAGAGTTAATCGACATCAATACTATATTGACCAAAAACTATTGAATACAAATCTAGAATACTTTTATTAGGACATAAAAATAATGCAGATAATACAATAGTTATATGGATTCAAAGTGTATCAAATACCAGTTATTGCTATTTTATTATCTTTTTTTCATTTTTTGTCACCAGGTAAACCAGTAAGACGATGTGCACCTGGCACAGAGTTGGTGGACTGGCTCGTCTCCCTTTCTCCTGCAGTCCATGGACGTTTGCAGGCCCAAGGCATGTGGCAGGCCTTGTTGGAGGAAGGAGTTATAGCACATGGTATTAGGAATATTTTTTTTTATATTAGACAATAATAGAAAATATTTCAAAAAGGCAAAATAAAAACTTTGACTTTATATTGACTCTAAGAAATATCTCAAATAAGCAATCAAAATATCTTTATCGATTCTTATGTTTGTAAAGAGTATTTGATTATTTAAATAATTTATCTTGTGTTAAGATAGTCCAGTCAATCAATGGTCACCTCAAGTGTTCCAAGTTTTAGCAAGTTTTAGCAATCCTAGGCTATACAATGCTCTGTTCAATTGATTATTTCCTGATCATATCATCATATCCCTCAAGAATGTTTCATATATTTAAAATTCTACATATAATGTGGTTACTATATTTTTGCTCATACCTTAAATCAGTTTAAACAGTTTAAATCTGTTTAAACGAGTCTACATTTGACGGAGTTGACATTTTCTTAACTCAGAAGGGAATTATATCTAATTTTTACATATTTTTTTTGTTAAATCTTTTATTTAATCGGAACTGAAATTTGTAGTTATCAGGTTGGCAACTAAGTAAGTGCGCATTTTTGTTAGAAAATCGAAAACAATATTCGCGTGGAATTAAATAAGTTTGTTCTGTATATCATTTTGATTGATGACCTTTTTTTATCTTTCAAGAAGCATCATTATCCCAAGTATATAAATTTTGAGTTTTTATTAGCAAAATTTGAATTAGGCACAATTTGACACCATCATCATTTTTTTTTTTAAATTCAAGAGTTTTAATCAGGTGGTTCGTGGTCAGGAATAATTGGTGAACGTGGAGAAAAATTTCAACCACCAACCTGTTCGACCTTAAATTATAATGTGTATTTGTAATTTTATTATAAAGTAATGAGGAAATACGATTGATTTTTCAACTTCTTAATTACATTTTTTTGTAGTTTTAATTTAGTTATTAGTTTAAAATTAATCTTCCTCAATTTTAATTACAAATTTCAATGCGGTTATAATCCCTGGTGTTCCAAATTTCAACAACGTCAATTAATTGAACATGATCTCTCTCAGAAACTGCATTACCCGGTCGCCACATAGTCTGGTGGCCCCAGTAGTTAATAATGGAATTCTGTACCCATACACGATGTACTGTATGTACTTTATTATAAGCCACAAGGCAAATACATGACCAATACCTGGAAACAATATCCAATCCGACTTTGGGAAAAGATTCTCAAAATATAATAGAAAAATACCTTTATCAAAAAATAAATAGAAATTGTTTATTTGGTTTTTATTGGTGACTAGATTTTTCTAGTTTGTCACAGGAAAACAACTTGACTAGATTTTTTACCTAAATTTATAACGAAAACTCGTACTGTTGTCTGTTTCGATTTTCCAAAAAATATGAAAATTTGGATGATTTTAGTGATGCGATTCTGATACGAATATTGCTCATTCCATTAATTACCTGATCGATTTTTTTTAAGGATTTTTGAACCCGTCTCTCTTTTGGTGATACGCAAAATTTTTGATTTTTTTTAAATGTGTAGATTTTTTTTGAAAATACAGGTGAAAAATAAACACAGGCAATATCTTACTGTATTCCTCCCTCCCCCATGTGATATTTCGTATTTTTTTGTCAAACCCCCCTATACCTCACGTGATTGGTCGCCACCTAAGTGACAAAGCAAACTCTGAAAAATATTTCTAATTTGATTTTAGAGATATATTTTCAACTTTTTTTGGAAAATCAACCTTTTTTAGGATAGTAGAACTTAGTTTTTAATTTAAGTACTTCCAGCATTCCACAAAATTGCTAGTTATTCTGATTTATTTTGTTATTCATTATTTATATATAGTAATTGCAAAAAAATCGAAAATGAAAATTTGTATATATTTTTACGTTTTCCAAGTTTCTGAACATTTTGGCATATTTAAGAAAAAAATGATATAAGATTGTGTGTGTGTTTATCTATTTATTTATTTATTTATTAATTTTACAAGCCGTCGGTATAATATTTAATATTATAATAAGGCCTAAGTCAATATTTTATGGGTTTAATATAATTTAATTAATTATTAGCTATTTTATTACTTAATTTATTTACTATAAACATATTTATATTTACTTAATTATATTTTTTTTTAAATATAACTAGTTTGTTTGTCACAAGTGTTTTTAAAAATTTAATAAGTAATTTTAATAAGCTTTAGAATACTTTTACAATATTAACAAATTTTAGGTTATTTTATGATATTTTAAGAAATTTAAGTATCTTATATTATTGTAATAATAATTATTATTATTAATAATAATATTATCATTATCATTTTTATTGTTATTGTTAAATATTTTTACAATTTTTTTTCTTTTACAAATTTTTAGGTATTTTGATGAAGGAAATATTTTGTTTCACAATTTTTAAGTGTTTTTAAATATAAGTTTTTGGTTAACTAATTATTAAGTATTTTAACAATAACAGTCTTATGAAAGTGTTTGTTGTTTCACAATTTTTAAGTGTTTTTTAAATTATAAGTGTTTAATTAACTAATTATTAAGTATTTTCACAACGATTTGAATAATTCAAAAAACATTTGATTACTACTGATAAGGAGATGTGCTGATTTGTTTTCAGCAAAGGCAGGTCTAGCCGTTTTGGAGATACGGGGAGAAATGGGCCAAAAATGGTATTTATTAGATAACGGAGCGTCCGATTTAAATAATTCAAATAACATTTTACTTGTATTGACGAAATTAACAACTGGTTAAATTTTTGTAAAGGCAGATCCAGCGTCTTTGGAGATGCAATAAAAAAAGTAAAAAATAATGCCATTTGGCGGTCAGAAATGAACATTATACATATGTACATCGTATTATCAGATATTTTATAATACTAAGTACAAATTTTGTTTACATTTATATGGATTCCCGTACACGCTAGGCGACTACGCGGCGCTTACGCGCTTTGCTATTTTCACCTGAAATGAGCTATGCAGCGTGATTGCTTGAAAAAATGTTACAAATTTTCAAAAAAAAAACTAAGTACGAAAAAAATCAAAATATTAAAAAAATCTAATTATAAAAAAAGTCATTATTTTCAAAAAATCAAATTTCTCAAAAAGTCATTTTTTTTAAAAAAAAAATCAAAATCTCTCAAAAATCTATTTTTTTCCAAATTTTGCAAAAAAAATTTTTTATTATTTAGCTTTCGGTATGGGAATTTCTAGCAAATTTGCCTTAAGACACGATGCCATACACCACTAGTTTATGTAATATTTTTACTATTTGGAACTTTTTCGGCTTATACTGAATTTAATTCTTGCAAACTTTTAGAATCTATTTGACGACTATGTACTTTAGGTGGACAAACTCGAGAGCTTTCAATTCATAATTGAATCATAGAACAAGTGCTTGTTCAAGCTTCTGAAATGAAATAAAATTTAAAAATGTTTAAATTGATTAGCAAAAAAATTACCAAGTGGAAATTGGATTGGATATAGTTTAATTAACAAAAACTTTATAACTTTTTACTTAGTCATTATTTAATTGAAATTTCTTGTATTCAATGATTCTATTTCAGACTCCTTGAAGAAATGGATTAATCCACATCTAACTAAATTCGTATACTTATAAGCAATAAATTTATCCATAAATTATCTAATTAGATTCCTAAACTTTGTATACAATGTCTGTTCTATACATCGTATGCAACTTTGAATATCCCGCATAAATTTTAGTTAAAAAAATTAAAAGTTCATTACAGTATTTAATCTTGCTATAATTTTTTTTTCAGTTGCCCATGAGCAACCCTTCAAAGACAAATGCTTCCTATATCGGTTTCGTCAAGATGAAGATCCTCCAGGAGGTGCAACCACTGGAAGTAACAATAATGCTCTTCCAAGTATGGAAGAATTGGCCAGGGCTGAAGAACATGTTAGAGACGCTCTTGCAGCTTTGGCACACAGGGCTTCTGATGCACTTTTGAGGATGATACTTAGAAAACCGTGAGAAATCATTATAATAAGGAAAAGATGATAAATTTTTGATCAAATGGACCAAATTGCATGTTACCTTTTT